CACCACAAGAACTGTTGGAACAATATTTCACAGCTTTCATAAGGCACAACACAACAGACAATAATTAGCTTTACCCTGTTCACTGCCATGAACTGGATACAAATTGGTTCATTTTTAATGTAGTGCCGCTGTGTTTGGTAAACTTTCAGTTATCACCCAACTAAGTCAGTCAAAACATAAAACTTCTATGCAGTAACATACCTCATGGAAGTCATGGTTGGATACAAAGCGAGAATCTACTTGACAGGTTGAATTTCTGATGGTTACAGAAAGGCAACTCCTATCCAGTGCTCCTGTAAGACATATCCATACCATTTACTCTCCTTTTCCATTTAACCACTGTTTTTCATTTTTTTTAAGCAATGAACAAATGCTCTGCATAGAAGAAGAATTTTCCAAATTTAATCACCAAATTAAGGCAACTTTTTAGTCATTTACCATTCAGGCGGGCAACATGGTATCCTGTGCCACCCAAAGCTTCCTCCCATTTACCAAATCGCAGTCGGACAAAAAAGCCATCTAACGTAGTGTGCATGATCGGTGATCTCAGCCATCTGTCATGAATAACAAATACAAAAAGGATCAAACATGAGCTTTCAGTCTTTAGGATCTTCTGTAACTTGGGCTAAGTGTCCACTATGGACGAAGGTGCTATTTCTCATGAAAAACAACAAAATGCTTATGTCAAAAAAGAAAAACATGGCTTTATGTACTCAGAGATAATGCAAGTTCTTGTCATTTTTATGGCACACTAGTCTCTATGAACCAGGCAGTAGCAAACACTGAACTATCCATAACCACACAAGGTACTCCCTGAATCCCAAAAAGGAAGTCATTATAGTTTTGTCCTAAGTCAAACCATCATAAGGTCTTTCTTTTTGGATGTTGTATGGGTTTCTAAACCTTTTTACTCTTCTTCTTAATCGATGATACACACCTCTCTTGCAAGCTTGAAGAAAAAAAAACATCACAAGTTTGACCAAAGTATATACAAAAAGTACAACCATTTATGATACCAAATCATCAGATTCACCATGAAATATATTTCATAGTACGCCTATTCGGTGTCATAAATATTGATAACTCAATTCTACAAACTTGGCAAGCTGAAGATGGGACTTTGGACCAAACTAGAATGACTTTCTTTTTGGGATGGAGGTAGTATCTAACATTATATATTTGTCCACCAAAATGTTCTAAGAAATCATTACTTACATGTTCCCCTTTCATAAAAGAACATAAATCACCTGAATGCAAATATACATGTTCTTCATAAAAAAAATACATGTGCTTCCTAGAAGGCATGGATTCAAATGATCCAGAAATCCAGTGGAGTACCTTATGATATCTGAGCGAGACAGGCGAAGCCTATGTAAGGCACCAAAAACAACACTTAATTCATCACAGACATCATTAGACATAGTGCCATAAGGAACAATTTGTTTGTTATCTGACGGACCCACCATAAAATCTGAGACTCCTCCCTTTAATTCTACTTGGTTTCTGTCAGTATCTTCAGCCAATGTGTTCAGTTCCAAATTATGCTGAGTTGCAGATTTGCCAGCTGTGTTCCCTCCATGATGCTGATGCTCACGCTCAGATATAAAGTTTCCTCTTAATTCTTCGTTGCTTAGACACAATTGTTCCTTGCCTTTGTCACCTACCCACAAAACCATTCTTCCGTTTCCGCTAGAAGATTTATGATTTCCGTGTCCTGCCTCTACTTTATCATGGCTGCTGTAACTAACAACAAAAGAGTTAGTTTTGTGGTTTCTCAGTTTGGGACTTCCACGCTCACATGCTGTAGCCAACCTTACTGCAGAGGTGTTTGCATGTCTAAGTGCGTCCAATCTCTTAGCAAAAACAGAAGCCATTGTTTCAGATTGCTTAGGTTCCTCTGGAGGCGTTGCTGGACATTTACTATTTGTTACACCATCGCTGCTTCCTCTGCCAGTGAAGCATTGTATATTGTTCAGTTCCTTCTCCAAATTAAAATTCTGAAGAGGTGGACAACGCAACTTGTTACCCACAGCCTGTGGATTAACAGCATTCTCTGCATTGCATGGTGTTGCCTCCGTCGGTTTCACTGATGCTTTTGGCAAAAGCCGAGTTACCCACAAGCTTTCCCTCAAACCACCTTTATTTTGTGTTGCATCATTTGAGCAGGCAGCTGTGCACTGATTTTGTTTTTCTTCTAGAGGTCTAGAGCTAAACTTACTGGAACTGGCCAGTTTCGTATTTCTTTCTGGTCTCATTTGGAAAATATCAATTTGACTCTGAACATTTCCTCTACAGCCACCAGAAATCATCTGAAAGCGTTCAGCAGCTAAAGTCTCAGTAGACACATTAAGAGTTTCTCTACCCATGCCAATTTGTTTGTCCAACATAGAATTGCTATCATTTAATTCCAGGGTCAGTCTATTGAACACATGCCCAGCACAGTTGCTTTCTGGTTGACGACAATTATCTCTTGAAGTTATCATAACATTATGAGTATACAGGGACTGAAAGAGTGAATTGAAGCCTACAGATTGCAAAGGAACGCTGCTGTTATTTTGAAGTGGCTGGGAAGGTGCTGCAGATCCCTCTCCTGTACTTGCTGAAAACTTCTGATCAAGTGGAATGGCAGCAGTGGCTCCATCAAGCATGGGTAACCCATTCGTGAGTGATGACATCCAGTTGAAGAAAGATGTACCACATTTTTGCAATAATCCTGAGCAAGAACTCTCATTGTCTTCTCTTCTAAATCTTTTGTTTCCAGAAGAAGGCATCATGGCTGCACAACACTGCGCATACTTCCGTTTTGGGGCTTTTGTACTTGTACAGCTCTCGATGCTCTCATTGCTGTCATCACCCTCCCTTGTATTGTTACCACAATTGCTGTCATTGTACACAACTTTTTCTTTGCCTTTCACAAGCTTTCTGGAATTAACTACAGGTGCCGACTCACATCTTGCAACAGCATTAACACCAGATGCTGACTCACCTTTCGCAACAACAGGCTCATCCTTATGGCTTTCCTGCAGAACCGGACCTTGGCGATTGTCATGTGAATGAATTTCTGGAACATTACTAATTACATTGTTGTCACTGCCCAGGCTTTGAACATTTCTATTGCCTTGGGAACCTACCAATTTGCCCGAGACCTCTCCTGCATCACATGAAATTCCTAAGGAAGAAGGTAACATCGGATTCTCTGTGTTCATTGGCAACATAGATTCTTTCTGATAAACTGCTTTTACTAACCGAGCACGCCATGCATTAGTTGCCCAAGATCTTTCATTGCAGACAGTGGTTGCACAATACACCTGGTTTTCTGAAATACTATGCATGACTTCTTTTCTGGAGGCTGAACCTGAAAAAAGCCATGATAAATATTTGTCACGAACAAAAAATAACAAACTTGTCTTAATTGATTTTCCAAAACATTAAGTATTACTATGGGAAGCATCCTTGCAACATCTTGTGGGACAATTCCCCGCTTCCATGTCCTCCAGCTTATCCACACAACAGTTTTCCGACTCTGATTTCCCTTCGTTCATGACATTAATCCCTTCATCACAGCACTCTACAAGTTTAGCTTTCAACAAAGTTAAGTCAGATAATAGAAAAGATGACTTCTTAATTTTTTAATCCTATTTGGACAAAGAAGTTGAGCTACTAGCTAATACTCCCTCCGTTCCAAATTATAAATCGTTTTGGCTTTTCTAGATACATAGCAAAATCAATGTACCTAGAAAAGCCAAAACGACTTATAATTTGGAACAAAGGGAGTACATATGTATTACGAGGCAGATGAAACTTCAAAATCTAATATAACAAACGATAGGCAACAGTGTTCCCTACCAAACCTTAAAAAAGAGAAGAGACTTGGCTTGATTTTGAGGTGTAATTTGTTCTGATTATGTTAACACAGTGCTCTTTATATTGATTGTATTAGACCCTTCTAACATGATGAGCAGCTAGCTAGACCAATAAAGAATTGGCAAATTCATATGTCTGGGCAAAAAGAAAAGAAAAAAGAATTGTATTCAAACTACCAGCTCTCTGAATTAAATTGTGTCTTTTAGACTTACTTGAATCTTGCTCCTGCGATCGCATAGGCGTAGATTGTAGGGCATCGACATTTGTAACTCTATTGGGGCTATCCATGGTTACTCTCACTGAGCTATCACTACGAATCCGTAGTTGTGATGGCATCTTTTCTGACACCTCTAGGTTATCATATATGGTATCACCGCTCTTTACACCTGGACCAGAACCACTCTGTTGAGGTGAGGATATTAATATGCTCAACGTATCTGCATTCCAACGAAGAGAAGCCTTCCTTGTGCTTAGACTGGACGCCGCAATTTTAATGCTCAAGCCCTCATCCGGAGACCACACCAGCTCAGAGAGGGGGCTCATGCCGAATTTTTGGACTGCATTTACACCTGCACCTGAATGTCGACAACGGGCCTTCAGAAAATTATATAATATGAATAGTCCTCTGCATATTATATATTGTAATTTATAGTTTGCTTGTGCATAGAAGAGCCGGGAAAACAAGATAGCACATGACTGGAAGTGCAAAGTGCAAGGAAGCATGAATGATCTCTATATAAGGCACATGATGTAATTCCTTTTCCTGCGTGTAGCAAAGGCATAAATGTTTGTTGTAAAAATACTCCTGGTATATGCATCTGATTAGAAAGTATTCGATGAAGTAGCTGCAAAATTTGTGTCTGTTTGATCTTTTGTCCAAATTAAGGCACATATTGACAGCATGACTGCCATCAAACGAACAATATTGGGTTCTAGGAAGCCCCAACGGGGGTGTGCATGATACATGGATCATGACGTGAGAAAACACACGCACCCACCTAAAAAAGGAAAGCACCATCCACATCCGATCGTGCTTGTTTTTGCTAAAATACAATACAGAGAAAAGTACGGTGAAAACTTTGCCTGAAAGCCGAATAAGAGACCGCAAAAATAAATAAGTAACATTATCTATCCTGATGTGTGAGACAGCAACGGCCGCACCTCTGGGAGTAGCGAATCACTACCATCTCATCTCACTGCATTCGCCCCATCGCGGCGCGCCGGGCCTCAGAAACACCACACCGGCACCAGAGAAGCGGGCGGAGCGGAGGACTCTTCTCGATCGCACACCACCTGCTTTCGGCTGCGCCGAGCCGCAAGGCCTACTACAGCTACAGGGCGGGAGCCCGGAGGGGGTTTCAGCAGGTGGGGATCGCGGCGAAGGGCGGCCAGGGGCGGGCACCCGGTCCGTCGAGCGTCCTGGCGCGGTGAATCTGGGAGCGGCGGCCGAGGGGGTGCAGGAGCACAGCATGTCCGCACAACCGATATGCCTGAGGGCCAATGAGCGAGGCCAGAAGACTTGTTTTGCATGCGTGGGAGGCGTGAGGCGGAGGCTGCTCCACGTAGAGGCCGCGCGGGACACAGGCGCCCGTGCGCTGGGTCTACCGGTGTATGGGGGGTCCGGAAACCCGGAGCGGCGCCGGAGGCCGGATGGGTGGGGGTGCCGTGCTGAGGCAGCGGGCCTTGATGAGCTGTCCGTCTCGTGGTGGGGTTGCGCGAGACGCGGAGGGGATTAGGATTGGGACTTGCCGGATTGGGTTGGGCTGGCCTGGGAATGCGATAGGATGACGGGACGCGACGGGACGGGACGGGACGGCGGCGAGAGGGTAGAGAGGAACACCGCGATCGCTCCGGCTGGACCTTTCTCTTTCCATTTCGGAAAGGCACCACCAATAGCCCTACAGTAGGCTCCATTTGGCACTTACGTAGAGCTGTTGCTCATAAAGAATTAGGGATTTTTTTACTAAAACTATATATACTCCCTCCGTCCCGAGCAACAACAGTAGTCTTCATTTGGCATTCTGCAGGGCCTGTTGCTTATAAAGAGCTAGGGATTTTTTTACTAACACTATATACTCGTAGGTCTACCGGTGTTGACAACAAATGCTAGGTCAGGGGCGCACGGCGTTCGATCGTCCGGACGCCGTAGGCCGCGATGGTACGAACGGCCCAACTATCCCAGATGCCTTATCCGATCGGTTATTTGATAAAAAAAGCGTTCGGCTGTTTTCTTCACTCACGGGTCTCTACAAACATCATTCCCCAAATCCCCACTTGTCGCCGAATTTCAATTCCATGCTCCACCGTGACTGCACTCCCGCGGTGCTCTCGACCGCGGCTGACCGGTCGCCATCCTCCATCTCCACCTCACCTGAGCTCCGTCGACCGCCTTCCTCTCTCTCCAGTGCAGTTCACCGACCATCGCGCGGCATCAGTTCGTCGCGCTCGCCCAACCGCTTTTGTCCCTCTCCGACGGCACCTCGGGCTAGGAGCGGCGACTAATCGGCCCCCGCCTCTCTTCCCCTCCACAGAGATCGCCCCGCATCCTCGCTCGGCGACGGCATCCAGCGATGCGGACGAGATCAGGTAGGGGCAGCGCCGCCCGCCTCTGTTGGTGCTGGTGGTGCCGTTGCATGCCTCAGGTTGGTCCCCACTAATCCAAGGGCACCCATGAAGCGCGTCCCGTGCTGGTGGTGCTCGCGTGCTGTCGCTCGGCGCCGGCTCCCACATTGAGGCCGAAATCAAGCGGCCCTGGCCTCTCCCTCCCCCTTTGTTGCAAATGTATGTTTCAAGTGTTTCAGATGTTATCAGAGGTATGTTGCAAGTTTTTTATATGGATGTTGCAAAACTAGATTGTGATGTTCCAAGTGTTTCAGAGGTGTTGGATACCACAAGAAGGGGTACCCTAAGCAAGAACCAAAAATATCGCTTAAACCTTGCAAAAATCAAAGCCAAAAGACTACCGCCAGGTCTCTACAGAATTCTCCGATTCGCTCGAGGCCTTGCACCGAGGTCTCATACGAAAGGCCAAAAGCACCCCGCCGAGGCCCTCTCGCCGAGACCCTCTCGTCGAGGCCTCGCCTCGAAAGGCCTCGGATGGGATGCCAATTCTTCGATTCGCTCGAGGCCAGGCTCGGCAAACATACTCGTGGCCTCCGTCCCGACCAAACTCCTCTGATGAAACGTCACGTCCAAATTAATGCGCCCAACTACTCCCACAAACGTCAGCCGCACTCAGGCACAGTACGGGCAAAATGACCGACGGGACAAGGGACCAGGCGCAACAGGGGTTACCTGCCACTGTGCTCATCACTGTGTTATCTAAAACCCGTGCTAAGGACAAAGCAGCATGGAAGGTCAAGTCCATGTCCCTATAGTCTCGGAAACCGTAGGAGAGCCCAACTGCTCGTCCTACGCCCCGTCCGAGACCCCCCGGCAGGGTCTCAGACGTACTATTCTTTCTCCGCCTCGGCCGAGGCCGGGCTCGTCCCGCATCCTCGTCGTCTCTGACTCAACTACCCCTCTGGCGGGCCGTCCCATCCATGTAAGTACCCCTGGTTGCGCCTACGTCAGCCACGATTAGCGGGGCATAGCAACAGGGGTGATGGGACGGCGGTCAAATCACCTTTTTTACCATTCCCCACCGACGGTGCAGGGACTACCGTGCTTTGCGGACACACACCCTGCATTTTTCCACCTAAACCGGGTACGACGCTGACCACCGAGACCGCCGCATCGCACTTAGGTCACCTCCTAGGCCTCGGCAAATCAGGCCTTGGTGCGGCCGGCCACAAACACCTGCCAGGCCTCGACGAACCACCAAGTCAAAAATTCACAAGGCACGACATGTCACCTACAGAGGAGGCCATGCTGACTAAATGTCAACAAGGACCCCTACGACTTCAACAGCCTCAGGCATGGCCGGCATGACGCACCAGTGATCAAGTACCAATTGCCATTCCCGACACTGTACTGCTATAGGAATAGGCCACAGTACTAGATCTTCCTTCCTCGCTAAGGCTCCATGTGTAGCCCTCTCATGTACTCCTGGCTCCCTCCTTATGGCTATAAAAGGAAGCAGCCAGGGCCGTTTCTAGAGGGAGAGACCGCGCTGGCCCTCACGCGCAAAAACACACTCACTCAATTCACGCACGCTCCCAGGCTGCCTGAGAGCAACGACTCAAGCAGTCCACGCCACTCCACGGCGAGACCTGGGACTAGCTCCCTCCCTCACCCAGCTTGTAACCCCCTACTACAAGCACTTCGGTGTAAAGAATACAAGATTGATCTCCTAGACTGGACGTAGGGCACCGATTGCCTGAACCAGTATAAGCCTTGTGTCTCTTTGCATCACCATCCGGGATTAGGGGCACGCAGTTCGCATTTACTGGTTGGTTGAGGACCCCCCCCGGTCCGAAACACCGACGTACACCGCCGCATCAACAACGACGAAGGAAGTGAGCAACCCCCAATCTTCAATCGCGCTAGCCAGAACGTCATGGCGGCTGCGATGCTAGTCCGAGCAATGCCCGAGCCCTCTACCATGGAGGGGCGACGGGTCCGCGGTGAGCTCCGAGACCTTCTTGAGACCGCCATAGTACATCAGGCCGAGAGCTCCGTGTCTCGGCGACGTGAGAACATCTCGAAGCGACCCTCGGTGCACGATCGCCTCAAGGCCCCCTCAGTCCACGACCGCCTCAGCGACCGACGCGAGGCGCAAGAGGACCACGATGTGGTTAGCAGGCGACAGCGCCACGACAACGACGGGCTCGCCCGAGGTTACCACCCACACCGAGGTGGCCGCTACGACAACGGGGAAGACCGCAGCCCTTCTCCTGGGCCGCCTGGCCCTAGAGTCTTCAGCAAGGCCATCCGCGGTGCTCCATTCCCTGCCCGGTTCCGGCAACCGACCAATCTCACAAAGTATAGTGGCGGGACCAACCCCGAGCTTTAGCTGGCCGATTATCGCCTGGCTTGTCAGCTAGGTGGCGCGAACGATGACCTGCTCATCATCCGTAACCTCCCCTTGTTCCTGTCAGACTCGGCGCGAGCCTGGCTCGAACACCTCCCTCCCTCACAAATTCACAACTGGCGTGACTTGGTCAAGGTCTTCGTCGGGAATTTCCAGGGCACATACGTGCGCCCTGGAAACTCCTGGGACCTCAAGAGTTGACGCCAGAAGCCGGACGAGTCTCTCCGGGACTTTATCCGGTGCTTTTCCAAGCAGCGCACCGAGTTGCCCAGCGTCGGTGACTCAGAAGTTGTCCAGGCTTTTCTCTCTGGCACCTCCTGCCGAGACCTGGTCCGAGAGTTAGGCCGGAATGTACCAACTTCGGCGGCCGCGCTCCTCGACGTCGCCACCAACTTCACCTCGGGCGAAGAAGCTGTCGGGGCCATCTTCCCCGATGGCGAAGCAAAGGGGAAGCGGAGGGGCGAGACCTCCGGGGCCTCACCCTCCCATTTCTCCAAGAAAAAGAAAAAGGGGCGCCAGGGGAAGCAAGAGGCCCTCGAGGCCGATTTTGTCGTAGCCGCGGATCGCAGGAATCCCCGAGGCCCCGCCGGAGGCCCCGGACTATTTGACGACATGCTCAAGAAGCCGTGCCCTTACCATCAGGGCTCGGTAAAGCACACCCTCGAAGAGTGCACCATGCTCCGACGCTACTACGCCATGCTCGGACTTCTCGACGACGACGCCAGGAAGAAGGGCACCGGCGACAGAGACAACGATAAGGACGGCGGGTTCCCTGAGGTGCACAATGCCTTCATGATCTTTGGCGGGCCTTCAGCGTGCCTCATGGCGTGTCAACAAAAGAGGGAACGCCGGGAAGTCTTCTCGATTGAGGTAGCCACTCCCCAGTACCTTAACTGGTCTCGGGAGGCGATCACCTTCGATCGGGAGGACCACCCCAATTATGTCCCAAACCCCGGGCAATACCCGCTCGTCGTCGACCCGATTATTGGCAACACCCGGCTCACCAAAGTGCTGATGGACGGAGGTAGCAGCCTCAACATCCTCTACGCCAACACCATGGAGCTCCTAGAGCTCGACCAGTCGATGCTCCGAGGGGGTGCCGCACCTTTCCACGGCATCATGCTAGGGAAGCGCGCACGACCCCTCGGACGCATTGATTTGCCGGTCTACTTCGGCACTCCCTCCAACTACCGCAAAGGGATCCTCACCTTCGAAGTTGTTGGGTTCAAGGGAACCTACCATGCCATTCTGGGGCGCCCGTGCTACGCCAAGTTCATGGCGGTCCCGAACTACACCTACCTCAAGCTCAAAATGCCCAGCCCCAACGACGTCATCACCATCGAGTCCACGTACGAGCATGCATACGACTGCGACATCGAATGCATCGAATACGCAGAGGCTATCGTGGAGGCCGAGGCACTCATCGTCAACCTCGACCAACTCGGTAGCGAAGTGCCCGACTCCAAGTGCCGCGCCGGGACTTTCGAGCCCACAGAGACTGTCAAGCTCATCCCGATCGACCCCAACTGCTCCAACGGCCGAACGTTGAGGGTCAGCGCTACTCTCGATAGCAAATAGGAAGCCGTGCTCGTCGACTTCCTCCGCGCGAATGCCGATATGTTCGCATGGAGCCCCTCGGACATGCCAGGCATACCGAGGGAGGTCGCCGAGCATGCCTTGGACGTCCGGGCCGGCTCTAGACCGGTGAAGCAGCGCCTGCGCCGATTTGATGAGGTGAAGCGTAGGGCCATCGGTGAGGAGGTG